AGACAGCTCTTCGTCCTCTTCGTCCTCTTCGTCTGATGGCAGTGACGACAATGGTGAAAGATCGAAATTTGATAAGAACCTGGTTCCTTTCATCGCAAGAGACAAAATTCTTCTCGAAAATATGTCTTCTGGGGCCCGAGCCACTCATACCCTTGCCGCGAACTATCGTCGAGGAGGGAAAGCGTTCAAAGATTTGCTTAAGGGTTCAGTTAGTCGACCTGAATTCCCGGACAGTGAATGGAACTCCATTATCCAGAACAAAGTCTGTGACTTCGATGCCGTACTTTCTAGCATCCACTCTCCAGCAGTCCCCAAATCGCTCAAGGAGAAGGTGGGGGTGTTTGAGATCAAAGCAGAAAAGGATGTCGAGGTCACGAAGACAGTCACTAACGAGGCACAATGGAACAAAGCTTTCCGTTTGTTCAAGCGTGCAACTCTGCACCTTTTTCCCCATCGCGATCTCGAGTTGGCTACCTATGAGAGTCATATGGGCGATCTTTTTCTCTCTATTGACTCATCACTCCATCCTCGTCTCATCTCGTATGACAAGGCAGTTCGCAACCTGGTTGCTAATCGTGGTGACCTCACCCTTGCAGATACCAACCACGATGCATTTCGGAACGCATTCCGCACTCATATTGAAACCTATGGAGCATTCGTGGTCGAAAATGCGCAGCTTGCTTCAACCTCTTCTTCACCATCGTCCTCAAGGGACAAACGACCTAAGGTTGAAGTATGCAAGCGGTTTAACCAAGGTACCTGCGTTGGGACTTGTCACTATGCTCATGTTTGTTCGAGGCCAAACTGTAGACGACAGGGACATGGCGCTCATGAGTGTAAAGAGGGGAAGACTGAGAAGAACTGATCGGGAGGTAATATCTTGGGTGGTTTTGGTGTCCCTTTTTCTACAACTCACTACCTTGCTGCTGAATTCAGAGCTTGGTTGTGTCCTTTCTTTCTCTCGTTTGTCTCTTCGTGATTCCTTGCTGCTGATTTCAGGGCTTGGTTACATTTCTGCTTTTCTTCAAATGTCTTTCTATGCTCCTTTGCCGCTGATTTCAGGGCCTGGTTGCATCTCTTCTTTTTGCCTACCTGCTTTTTATGTCAAACCCCCTCGATCTACGTTGGGGGCTCCCAAAAAATGAACCCTACATTATCAGAGGGATCACGGCAACCACCTCGGAAGCCGTGGTCTCTGGAGCGTCTCAAATTTGAACGCTCTATTGCTGTCGGTGCTGCTATTGACACATCGACGCACTCTTCATACACGTCTGCCCTCAATTCCTATGTCTATTTCTGTGATGTTCACCGATTTCCCTATAAACCTACACCTGATACTTTTAGTTTTTACATTGTCTGGCTTTGCAACAACGACGTACAGCGCATCGATCCGAAATCAGTGGAGAAGTACCTCTCTGGCATCTGCAATGAGCTTGAAGACTTTTATGACGACGTTCGGGCAATCCGAAATCATCGCTTAGTGCGGAAAACCCTCAGAGGGTGTCGTCGTTTATACAGCAAAGCCACGAAAAGAAAATCCCCCCTCTCCACTTCGGATCTTGCCCTTGCTGTCGAGTGTTACGGTTGCAGTCTCCATCATGACGATTTACTCTTTCTCGCTCTGCTACTTACCGGCTGGTTTGGGTTACTTCGCCTGGCAGAGCTGTGCCTTCCTGACATCAAAAAACACCAAAACCTACGGAAACAGACGAGACGCGATTCGGTGAAGTGGTATTCACAAGGATATGGTTTCGATTTACCTCAACACAAAGCAGATCCTTTCTTTGAGGGGAATAAAGTGGTTATCCGTCGTCATAATCGTTTCCCGACCAACATTGATCCATATAATCCTTTTCTGCATTACATCAAATCCCGCGACACCCGATTTCCCACCCATTGGCAGCTTTGGCTGCGAGCAGATGGCTCTATGCCCACCCGGTCTTGGTTCATGGATAGGCTGGAAAGGTTATATAAACGGCATGACATTGCTGGTCAGTCTATCCGTTCAGGTGGAGCGACCGGTCTTGCGGAAATTGGCGTCCCACCTCATTCGTGCCACTGGTCGTTGGGCCTCTGAGACTTTTCACATCTACATCCGCAAAAACCCCACTTTCCTCACTGCCCTTCTACTCCAATAATCTTCTCTCTTCAATGGCATGCTCTCATCATCATCACCCATCATCACCTCCATAGGCTCCATAGCGGTCGTTCGCATGCCCATTTGTAATCCGTTCCGGCCCCGGGGACGCTTGCCCTGGGGCGCGTTTGCCTACTCATAACCAGAGCCGAAGACAAACAAATGATTGGTTGACGGTAAATTTTGAATTTACCTAGATCAATATTGTGAGTCCCAGGACTCAGAGGGCACACGTCGCTACGTGTTCATATTGCCCATGTCGTTTCGCTAAACGACCCAGTTGCGTCGCACGCAACTTATCTTATGCACCGCTGTGCAAATAGCCGCGCTCGGCTTAATACCGGAATTTTCCGGTCATGTGGGTACGACGGTCATGGGTATTGAGTCGCTCACTCTTCTCGCTCACTGCCCGTTGTACCCAGGTATGTTCTATATACATTATCCTGCTCTTCTCGTTTACTGAACATTGTAAACAGAGCTTTCTCATCGCTTACCCGCCCACCCACCCTTTGTAATACTCAAGATGTACAGCCTTTCCATCGAATGTAATCTGCGGTTTATTTTTGCTACTTTATTTTCTTCTGCTGTACTATATGCTCCCGCCTACTGTATTTCGTACTTGTACTTGTATAGCGGTCGTTCGCATGCCCATTTGTAATCCGTTCCGGCCCCGGGGACGCTTGCCCTGGGGCGCGTTTGCCTACTCATAACCAGAGCCGAAGACAAACAAATGATTGGCATACGATGTCGATGGCAACGACCCAGGTTACCACTACCCCATTAATGCGTACTTAAAGTTGGGGTTCTTAGTATATGAACTAGACTCATTGGGTAAAAGAATACGTAGAACGTTCGACCGTCGAAACAAACGTTTACATCAATAATGTCATCAACAAGTAGAGGTCAAACCAAAACGAACGTGCGTTGAAGAAAGACCAAATCCACATTATCAAGTTGTACGAGTGGTATAAGCCTAGGTATCCTACGAATATTGGAGTTGCGATTGTATGTATATGTACTTGTGGAGTTAATGACTGTATGACCGTACGAGGTGGATGTTTGCGTGCGTATGTGTAGTAGAAAGGTGGACACGGAAAGACGAAAGACACCAAAGGAAAAGTGATCCAAACTGACATCGCCAGAACAAGAGAAAAACAGAAAGCCAAATGCATCTACGCCTGCACCTTGACCTTGGGCGGATTCCAAGGTCCCGCATCACTACCCAAACACCATCCATCCTTCCTCTCACCTTCCTCCTTTTCCTTATACTCTACACACCTACACCTTCCTCCAACCCCCAGACTAGCCGGTAAGACCTCCTCCGCACCAACTCCAATTTCCTCCCTCAACACTACCCATTCCTTTTCTCCACTCCCCAAAATCTTGACCTTTGCAATCGTTACAGGATCCAACCACCCTTTAATCACGCTCCACACCGTACTAAACACCCACGGCGCATTCACGATATAAAACTTGCCCATAACCTCTGGATACCTCTCCTGCCCAATTTGCGTAGCTTGATTCACATAATCTCTCACTTTCACAAAGTTGGATAAAGAGACACCAGCGAGATCAAGGATCGTACAAGACGTTTCTACGGGATGGCCTACGGCGGCAGAAGCGGCAGGAAGACGGTGACGGAGGAAAATTTCGTATTCGTAGACGAGACGTTGGAGTTGACGTTGGGTTGTGGTGCATGCGTTCAAGGCTTTGATATCGAGGAAACCGAGGCGTTCGATGTAGATTGGGCGGCCTTGCTGTTTGCGCGGATGTGGAGTGGGTGGAGAATGTCAGAGAACCCAGGGGTGCGGTTAATTTTGGCGCGTTGGAGTGCGGCGAGATCGATGATTTTAGGAGTTGGAGGAGCAAAGAACGGGGCATAACGTTCAGGCAGGACGGGCAAGGCACGACAAGAAAGTACAAGCATTTTCTTAGTTGATGCGGAGCCTCGACAGAGTGGTAGATGGCGTACCTTATCAGTCTTGTGATAAAACTGGGGATAGTACTTGTCGACCTCTTCTTTTTCCTTAAAGTCAAAGTTGCTGCAACGGCGAGTATAGTTAGAAGAGGCTACGAGAAGAAGAGAAGAAAAGAACACGTACTTCATAAGCTCCTCAACCCCAAAGTCCTTCCTCCACTGCTCGGCAGAGAGAAACATCGTCTTGGCATTCGCTACGTTCCACTTTCTCGCCCTTAGGAACCTGCACCAAACACGTCTTAGCTCAAAGGACGAGAGAGATAAGAGAAACAAAGGCACACCTCAACACCGTCGCATCATCCATCCTCTCCTCGACCCAAGCTCCTTCCTTTTTGATCTCCTCCTTCAACTCTTCCAACGCCTTTTCCTGTTCTGGAGTAAGGTTGCCTACGTGTCCAGGCTCAGGCTTCCAGTTTGGGTCGAGTTTGTACGGAAGCTTGTCAAAGGGTGCGGGGTTGAGTGGTTCTTTTGGTGTCGAATCACCGTTAACTGCGTGTGCGCTGGCAACATCACCATTGGGAATGCTAGTGTCAACAGCGGCGGCGGGTGTCGTTTCTTGTGTGGACATTGTACCGTGAGTTTTGGAAAGGTCGTAAATGATAGAACAGTCTAGTACAGGAAAAGGAGAAACCCACGTCAAAATTTATTTTATTTCAAATCCCCGCCAAATTGAATTGATTATCTCAGCCTCGGCACGTGCGGACCGATCGTTCTGGATCAATGTGGCTCGAGTTTTGACAGATGGATGGAGGTATTTATCAACTTCGGGGCTTTGAAAATAGTCATATGGTGATACTAAATGGTCTAGAATCGCCTTTTTTGGTGGACGTGGTTTTATCAGAGCGTTTCTAACGCCACTTTCTGAAAAAATGCATGATTATCATCGCATCAATGGGGTAGTGGTAACCTGGGTCGTTGCCATGGATGGATGATAATGGTCTCGACCCGCCGGGGGTTCGATTCCCCCTTGATGCATCCTTTAATCGTTTAATTGCTCGTGGAAGTGTTGTTTTTTGCCAAACAAAGTTGCTTTAACAAGTAGACCAGAAGCGTCTTGTGTGAACCGGAGTATTCATAGTGTATGTGATGTGATGCAAAATAAGCAAAAATCAGCATGTGCGTGGTTTTTTTATTCCGATTAACCTTGAGTAGTTTATACCTCATCAACTAGGTTATATCTACAGATATAGTTGAATTTTTTTAAAATATCTATTTTATGTCCTTAGTAGATTGCTATAAATTTTAACAAAAATAAGTGTACAATTCAAGAATGGCGTCCTTGGGACAAATTTCAGGTTGAGGTTGCTTACATGAAGTGCGCCATTGCTGCCCCGGGCCATGGCAAATACACAGTTATGATTTGTTTAAATGCAACGCTACTGAATTATTATTGTTTGCAAAAAACTTGAGAATTTAAAAAATCATACACCTGTAAAAATCGGGGTAATAGACACTGGGTGTAGCTTGAAATAAAACATGATGAGGTTGATTTGAAGTTGGGCTATAAAAATTTTAAAATAATATAAATCAGATTGTTTTGTGATGATACTGGTCTGTCCCCTTGTTTATTAAAAATTTACAGCTGTAGTGCACATGATGACTAGCAAAATAAAAAGTAAATAATTTGAATTTTAGAGCCAAGTTTGCATTTGGAATAATTATTGATATATCCAGTGTTTATGTGCTAAAATTTGATTATTTGATCAGCCACAAAACTGGAATAGTTTTACATTTTTGAAATGACACTTGTGCAAAATTGTATTTCTTTCAATTTTCCGTGCTCGAATGAAAGCATTTCTAGTCCAGAAAATTTAAACAATGCAAGGCTACATTGAACCTTATACTTTCTGCAAAAAAGTTTCTCAGATCACATATTTAGATATTATAATTATCATAAATAATTTTTTTTTGGGAGGTATGATCAGAACAGTAGAAAGATTGTATCATGAACTTTCTCATTCCCCAGTAAGGCCGAGTAATTGAAGACAGAAAATATGTCAAGATCATCTACATCTCGGCACCTTGAAACCCGTAACCTTTTTCAAGAGCCCACTCGGTAAAGTTGTTGATATCTTCTGACATATTTGGCAGCCGTAGAAGGGAATTGGATATCAAAAATCAGAATGATGTACTTAACCAGTACTGCGAAATATCACCTGTAACCACCGCCATGATTTAACTACAAGACGCGATGTAATATACTTTAATTCTAGAGAAAGCTGAGTGTCGGTCATCCACATTCACTGTTAAAAGGTGAGCACATAAACTAGTACAGCTCATTAAGTTTCTGCCTGGTTGCTGGCAGCACTTGTTTCATTTTCTCTCTAGCTTGGAGTTTGGCCGGTTACTCCGAGTACCTCTTTCTTTCCTCAGGTCCTAAAAACATCAGCACATATACTAAAGACTGATTTTTTTAATCACAGCGGGTACGCAAAAGTAAAACTCATTGAAGCTAGCAGAAAAGTCTGGAAACCCTGGAAAGCCCGAAAAAGCTAGCTATCAAAAGAGCCTATTTGCCGATGCCTGGTATCATCTTGGTCAGTCTTCAGAGGCTGTTTCGACTCAATGCAAAATTCATATAGCAAAGGCTGTGAAACAAAGGAAAGAATCAAAGATGTGATATAGAAGCTGATAACATAAGATACGAGTTGGAGCAATACTGTATTGATGAATAACCTTGTATATGAGTATGTATTCTTTATGACAACCTCACATTGTGCTGTTCCCTGGATTTTTTCTCACTACCTTACCCCATCCTAACTTGGAAGATTGATTTCATTGGCAAGACACCAGCATGTACTCTATTTTTGAGTAATAGGGTCAAGAATTTAGAAAAAATCATGATTTAGGATCTGGAATCAATCAGCCATCATCAAAGTAACTGGATAATAAGTATTGTGCACCATCATCCATAACTACCATCATTCAGTCGAAAATCTGATATTTTCTCTGTATGATGGTGAATCAACACCTATTTTGTAAAAAAGAACATCCTAAATTAAATATTTTTTTGACTTTCTCTGCCTGCCATGTAAATACCAGACTAGCAGTTACATAAAATTTTAGTAGAAATTTGACAAATCCATTTGATGCCTACTTCTTGGATCATCCCTGCACTAGGCAGAAAGCTCCACCAGCATAAACACCCTTGTCATCCTGGTAGAGATCAAAGTATTGATATCAACAATTGACCCTTTGCCATGGTTTCTGAGGACCTCTCAATTTAAGGCACTGCTCCCTGAAACCTGTATCTGATACTCATATAAAAGTCTGAGACTCTTTCCTGGCCTAAAACTTGTCCTGCCAGCGGTCAGGTCATCTCACCTTTTCTTTCCTTCCTTCGTTAATCCTACTCATTGATCAGCTGGTGCTGTTCACAATAATGCTTTACAGTTTAAATTTCTTAATTTGGTCTTTTTTTGTGGCATTTCTTACTTGAAAGCATAAACTAACAATGAATTTATATCAGTGTTGTACTCATCTTCTCACCTGCCATTAGTGCATTTAACATGGTCTTTCCTACCCAAACAATAGCGGGAATGAATAACAATTATAGCTGGATTCGAGACCTTACTGATCCAGAGGATTTCTTCCTACAAAGGCTCAGTTTAGATGATCTGGAGGGATGTCCCCAAAAATCTGAACCTGTCGCTATAACCAGTTTGACAGAAGCTTCAAGTGGACATGATCTGATTTTTTTTGAACATCCTGGGCACGTATCATATTTTACTCTGTGTTGTGATACATCATATTGTCAGACTAATACATATTCTTTTTTTAGCTTAACTCTAGTAATAGCAGTGGATTCGAGAAATAAGAACCCCTTTTTTGGATTAACAGTGCCAGTTCAAGAAAGTCTCAATAAAACTGCCGCTATAACACGCACTCCAAGTTCACTAACCGATATAAATAACTTGGGGTATGTAGTCGACTAATCCAAAAAAGTAGTCATCTCAGGATCTTTGTAGAGGGGGCCCTACCTTGGAACCTACTAGCAACTCTGCTATGTATGTGTTTGGATTTAAATGACAGAAAAAGTAAAGCTCTTACATCACATTTCAGGAAGGGAACAGAGACGTAGGTCTGCTTAACGGTACTAAAGTTACTTAAATAGCTGAACTAAGAGTTCTAGAACTGAACATCCAAGCTTTATTTCCACAAGTGCTAGGTGCGTTTGTCAACTTAACCAAGTCAACTTCTTCTGACGATAACAAACCAAAGTTCAAGTTCCTCCACTGAAGCCAGGTACGTGTCAGCTATCCATTCTCATACTCCGTTGAATAGCGACAATCTAGGGGAAATGACAATAACAATAATGCCAAGCTCGCCATAAATGATGCAGTGATTGTTGCTTCAGTTTTTGGAGCAATACTACTCAGCATATGTTTGGGACTTGTTCTGTTTTGGATCCGGAGAAGAAGGCAGCATAATAGGTCCCCCAATTTGATAATAGACGGAGGCGCAAAGCCGAAAATCAATCGTTTGAGATCGATATTGGCTCCAGCATCAGAAAGAGTATATCCATTCATTCTTGCTCAACCAATCTCTATAGAACAGAATGCTTCGGAAAAACAGCAACGAATCTCAACTTACCGTCGATCTCCGATTCTTATCCGAAACAGAGATGATACTGGTAGAGCACAATTCTCATCGGATAGTAACATGCGACACCCAAGATTCGATGAAGAGGGGAATAATTCTTCACGTCTGCCATCATACATTTCTCAATAGATTAGAGGTACCCGTTGACTCGCTTCGTTCATTCAATATCCACTCATTTCGTTGATTCGTGACTTCCTGAACATGGAAAGAGGATCATGGCCTCAAGCCAGGTTCTTGATATGAATTGATATTTTCGAGCCTCGTCCATAGTTTGGGAGTACGTTGCACCACGCCTCTCCATATAGAGCACACTTGACCTAGGATCATGACTGTAGGAGGGCAACGACCTTGAAATTCGCATGGCCTCTTAAGGGCATCTTTATACAAATCGAAGCCCTCACTGAAATCCTGACAACAGTGATCAAAGATTTCAGAGAGCATTTCTGGAGGAAGGCGTCGAATTGGAGCAAAGAGGTTCTGTAATGCAATGACTTCCCAGCCAGAATAAGGAGTAGTTTGCGGTGTTCTCCGGTTATAGCCATCCCAAACTCCGAGAAGAGCAGAGTTTTTAGACATTCCAAATGAGAAGGCGCCAAATGTCGAACTAGCGAGCTAACGACAACATCATCGTAGTTCACTATTGTTGAGCTAGCAGCCATGTTGATCCTAATGTTACGAGTAAATGGGGATAGCTAAGAAATTTTCAGGAAAGAGAGACGCGTAACTTACCTGAGATAGAAATGTGATTGCAGGACCCAAACTTGTTATCTGAAAAGGGATGGGAAATGTGTCTCGCTGCGTTAAACTTTAGTCAAAAAAACGCGTGCCTTCAGGTGTAGTGCAAAACAGAGGTCGGAGCCTGGGTAGTGGTAACCTAGATCATCGCCATGATGGATGAAACATGGTTGTTTTGTCTGCTTGACCCGCCGGGGTTCGATTCCCCTTTGATATATCTTCTAACTATTCAATTGCTTGTTTTTACGCATCAGTATTTTGACAAATATCTGGACAACTGGTACCGACCATTTCCAGTTAACCGATCACCAGTGCACCAACCGAAATTTAATTTCCCACCAGTAGCCGATTTTCATCAGCGGTAGCAATGGTGGATTCCAGTCATATCCTCATTAAATCACATCCAGAGGTTACCAATGCAGTCATAACTAATATCATGAAGATGCGGTACTGTAAGAATACAAGATAAAGATGGGGTAAAACACAATTTTTGGTGCACCAGTGGACCAGTCACCAGAAATTTGTCAAAATACTGATGTGGGCGTATGTAAGTGTAATTTTTTACCAAACAAAGTTGCTTTAACAAGTAGACCAGAAGCGTTTTGTGTGAACCTGAGTATTCATATGTATTTAAATAC